TCAATAATGACTTTGCAATAGACTACCAGTATGAATCACTACTGACAGCTAACATAGTTAACTTTTGAAAGAGCAAGGGCCCAAAATAGGCTTTTTAAAAAGTAATGATAGAGTATGCGTGGTGGAAGTGCTGCCGTCTACAAACTGCTTCGTTCGAAACCCACATCTCCGTACCTCACCGATGCCTTTTCAACACACCATGATGCAACCCTAAAAAGGTACTCCACCAGTGATATTCAAAGATGAGGTTTTGCTTGCCAACCCAAAAAAGAAAACCATAGAATGGCATACAGAACGATAACTTAAAGGGGTAGCACAGAAGCCTCTGCTTGATAGACAAAAGGCTTGTAGCATGCTTGTGTTGTTTAAATGTGCCTCTGAGGGAAAACGAGAGCAATCTGTACTAACTTCGACATAAATTCGGTATCAGGATTCCTGGAGGCAAAGAAGAGCTCCGTATCCAAGCCGCCATGAACACGTGCCAATTTTTGTCAGCTCTCAAAATAACGCAACGAATTAATCTGTTCGTTTAAAATGTCTAAGGGTCAAAGTGAATGAGATAAACCAGGAACAAGCTACATATTTTTATTTAAAATTACTTATCGCATATAATTACGACCCTACCAAAAAGTTTCATACAATCCTAAAAAAGTCGTTCCCTATTTTTGCATTTGTTGTGAATTATATTCATTGGCATATCTGTAATACTTATTTTGTTTTAATGTACCTTTCAGGGAGGAGGCAATCAGGAAATTCGGATCTCGTGACCGGATCAGCCTCTCCCTATACCAAGTGGCTGCAAATCTCCTCCTTCTTAAACGTTTTATTTTCCCTCTACATCTTTTCATCTTTAATAAATATGTCCAAAATGAATCAACCGGGCTTGTCTAAGAACGCTAGCAACAGGGAAGCGGAGACCGATGAGTCTCGCCCTACACTGGTGGCATCGCCCGCAGACCTACCTCCTTTCAGGGAAGATACTTATTTTGAAGAGTGGCTCTTAACTGCCAAATTCAACCTTCCTCTCTATTCCCGTTGTCAAAGAGTACCTCTTATCCTTCGCGCTCTTCCTCATGATTTATTCGTGGTCGCAATCGGAGCCGTCATCACCCACGACACCGACGTTGACAAATGCTGTGATACACTGGCTCAACTTGTTATCGATCGTGAGGAACAAACCCTGGCTAGGGACTTCTTTCAGCGTTTTCAAAAAGCTGATGAGGCCGACGAAGAGTACGCCAGGAACCTCCATCTCCTGAGGAAATGCGCGTTCCGCGGCTGTCCTCCAAACATGATCGCAATTTGGGTTACGGTTCCGTGTAAACACGGAGTCCGACCTTCCGCCTTGACTGAGAAGCTCTGCGAAGCAAAGACTAACTCGCTCGACCAATTGGTCAAGCTCGCAACCAAGAAGCTGCAGAAACTCCGGGGGCCCCGATTTTCCGGAAACCGCAAAACTGGTCAAATGTAGCATCCTCGTATCATGCCTTCCCGTGCTATACCCCCAGACCAGGTGAGCTTTCCTTTTCCCATTCCTGTCTACTCCCAAATGGCTCCCATTCTTATATGAGGGTCCCTGGCAAACTTGAAGGACGCTCCTGTAGTTTTCGCGACTCCGGTGCAGCTAAGTCAATTTTGAACCTCCAAGCCCTCCCTACCCTTTGTAACAGGATTAAGATCCTCTCTCCTTCTACAAAATTGCCTTCAGCAGAGGGAAGGGAGATGTTAGTCGATGGAGGGACACCATTAAAAGTCTGCATAGGGAAGGAAACTTGGGGAGTAAAATTCATCGTGTGTCTAGAACTGGCCTGGGACGTAATACTTGGTGCCGATTTCCTACACTACACCAAAACCGTCCTAGATTTTGCAGAAGGAACGTTTTCCACTCACGCAGCCAACGGGGTCAACACAGATACCTCTCCACCGAAAGACGAAGCAGATGACATCTTCAACGTCCTTTTGAAGCTGCAGCCATTTCCGTGAACAATCTGGATGACCTTTGTGCGCAGCTGACTCACATTTCCAACTACGAGAGAAAAGAATTCCGTCAGCTCCTACTTAAGTATGCGAAAATCTTCTCATGGCAAGGTGCAAGACTGGGACGAACAAATATTGTCAAGCATAAGATTGATACTGGTGAAGCTAGGTCTATCTGGCAACCACATAGACGTATTCCACCTCCTTTGCTAAAAGAAGAAAACCGTATGGTTGAAGAGATGCTCCGGGATGATGTCATAAAGCCATCCAAGTCACCATGGGCCTCTCCTATAGCGCTGGTAAAGAAGAATGTCGGCAGTCTGCGGTTATGCATCGACTATGGAAGCTGATTGCTGTAACCAAGAAGGAGGGAAACCGCAGTCACGAGGTACGGAAGAGGACGATCCGGTTACGAGATTCGAATTTCCTGATTTCCTCCTCCCTGAAAGGTACATTAAAACAACATTAATATTACATATCAACTTTTCATGTGACTTTTTACAATAAAATTCATTCAAATACACGTTTATAGTTATTTTTTGCAAATACTAGTCTAAAAAATTGAAGATATTTTTATATTTTGGTGCATTTCTCAAGTGAATGACTTTTGCACAACAGTCACCTTCGCGCAGTCATGTACTCACGACTTGGTGCAAAAACAACCCTTTGTACAACACTTTTGTACTTAGAATTGACCTTCTTGTACCTCGCTGGGTGGGCCGGCCTTTGGGCCATGTCAATACCCCAAACACCTTCTCTGTGCTGAATATATGTATTCTGCCCGAGTGTTGCGTCTTCTTTCGTCTTCAGGGGGTCTCGGGACGCTACATACATAATGCGATTAGGTAAAAAATAGTGTCAGCCTAGGCTAATATGCAAATCATACTAACCTGAAAAGGTAGAATTTAGCATTGATTAGTTATTACTGCAACTAGCTGTAAAACTCTAATGTTAATCTTACAAGAGAAGGGAATTACTGGCTTTTCTAGGCCAAGTAAGTAAAGAATTAAAAGTGAATGAAATCATACTGATAAAACCTCAATTAAAAATAGGTAAAAAATGAGATGCTAGTACAGTAGAATTCATTTATATTTCGCTCACCATGGCATACGTGCCTATCAGGCAGATCTGTGATTCTTCAGATGGTCACGAGTGTTGGACAAATTGCATTGCTTAAATATCACCGATGCAATCCACCTATAGTCCTTATTCACGCAAGGTATTTGCAGAGATTCGTTACCACCATCAGACTACAAACGTACCAAAGGACGTGTGATAGTTAAGGGCTGCATGTTAGTGGCTAAGATAAGAAATGTGCAGTGACTGAGCTTTAGGCTGAGGAGTTAAGATAAGCATTAATACCCGTCTCCCGATCATTCATCTACCTTTGGTTATCTCAATGCACCTATCCCTGTATTCGCCATCCAATCATCTATTGACTTACTATCTGGCCATCTACAAAACCATGCTGTAAGCATCAAATAGCTACATTCGTCTATTCTTTCAATCATTCATAAGTTCATTCTGTCGCATTATCTTTTCGCTCATTCATTTATCGTATTCTCCATCTAATTTGCTGGCTGACCTGCCTGCCGGCTAAATGATTGTTCGACGGACTAATTGACTGACTTGGCTTTACTTGCATTATTCAAAATGCTAGAGTATTGCACAAAATATGACCCTAGACGTGCGTGTATTGAGGTGATTGCTCGAGGTAAGTTACTTACTAAGGCATTTTGAGGTGCAGTTTCTGGTATTGTTATTTTGGCTCTGTTTTCACTGCTTGCACATTCACATCAATATCCGCCTCTGATTCCTGCTCCTTTCCCCTATCATCTAAATTGGCCTTAACAACAGCCTTCACTTCTATCGCCATTGTCCTTAGTTGGACGATCGATAGCTCATCCGTTGAAAGTGGAGTTAGAGTGGCTACGGATGACGATGGGATAGAAGTGCATCCCACCAGGAAGGGATGACAGGTGATGCTACCCCGCCTGCTCATTCATTTCTGGCCATTAGTCAGACAGATCACAACGGGACTATGTCTTCGCAAATCACTGTCTTTTTTATCGAGCTCTACACGACAATGGGGTAGGTCAGAACACACTCGGATAGAAGGCTGTTAAGGAGACCTGAAAAAGTGTAAAGATGTGGGAGATTGGATGTGAGTAGAAGAAACTGAATGAAAGCTGAAGTGAGGAATTCTCAAATGGGGGAGAGGATCTTTAAGTCAGCACCAGCTGTGGCTGCCTCGATAGCAGTGGTAGTGACTGAGGAGATAACGGTGGTAAAACGAGATGTCGACTTCCATGTGCAAATGCATCCAGAGATAAATAGCCCTCATGCCCTATTTGTGCTGAGTCAGTGTTTAATTGACGTACGAATGAAAGATCAAGAGCTAGACAATGGGATTGTGGAATGCATGATTGGTGGTAGAAACAAAGAAAAGCGGGGCGTAGTGGATGCTCTCGAGTGAGTTTTACGGATTTCCATGAGACAAGCAAACGCAAAACATTGTCTAATATAACCTCATTGCAAATGAGATTCAAAATTCATGGCCTGAAGTTTACACGAACGACGAGGCCCATGCTACTATTAAGTCACCTTTTACACTCAACTGCTTCCATCTTTTATTTCACCACACCAAATGACTGACCAATTATGAGAACATCACTTTGTGCCCACAACTACACTCCTCGCCTTCAAATACAACCACGATTATTAATCACCTAATTATTGAGTAAGTTTGTTAATCTAATAAAGTAAAGCACTCTCGTATCAAATGCGCACGTCCAAGGAATTCGTCTATAGTGTGTCATGGCCCTTTAGTTGTCGGTTTTATTTGACCGGCCAAAGGTTAATAAATGAATATCACCCCTCTACTTGCGCTATCCTATTCTACCTCATGTGACGCAAGCTCACAAATTTGCGTAGCTACCAATTTGTTATGAGCAGTAAAAAGCCTTTCTCGACAGTTTTTTAAGGTCTTTGGCAGGATAACAAGGAATAACTTGAGGGGGCGCACCTCAACTCACCGACTCGTGGCCACCCAACCAACGCAGGCAAATGGTCAACTTCCCTCTAGTACAAATAACTGCATTGAGGACTTCAACGGTTTCGCAGAGAGTATGAATGTAAATGAGGTGAAATTTCAATGTCAGTGATTACACAGAGGCTCGCTTCGCCAACAATCATAATAATGTTCAACGTCCTCAAACTTACAATCCGTAAAGTAAAGTGGACCTGAACTGTTCTAAGTAGCAAGCGTTACCTTTGTTCACATTACTGCAGAATGTTATTAAGATAAAATAACCACACCTGAAATGTTTATTTTGTGGCAAGTTGAGGAGCACCGACAAATAAGGTAATTACAAATAGGAAAATGTGACCAGGCATATTTTAGCTGATTCCCCAGCCCAAAAATATGACACAATTGGCAATGTATTCGAATTGACTGTGCAACAAACTGTTGTACCAGTCTCGCCTTATCTAATGCAGCACAATTCACGGTCGCCTTGTGGAGGATGTCTATGATGTACTAACCTCGACTGATATGGAGGTAAAGTGTTGGCATTAGCGTAGGAAAGGGTTCCAAGACTGCCAAATAAAAACAGAAAATGCCCTTTGCAGCTCCTAATTTACCTCTTACGTGCACCTTTTTTCATCCTCCAATTTCCCTACACTAATTACCTGACCATTCAAAAGGACATTACATTTTGCACATTTTGCATCCACAACAGTACACAGTTTACTTTTGGAGCCGTCCTTCTTCCGAAGCATCAACGGTTGCTCACTGACTAGTTAATATTTCACCTCGTTAATCACTAACGCTATAGATAAACTACACTTCCAAATTGTGCTCCTAAAGAAGTCAAATCGCCCATAAGTTACCCTAACACACCCGAAATTCGCTACTCTGATTGGAACTCCACTAACGAGTCTCCATAATACTCCATTCTGTTTTACGTCTACCACCAGTAGTGCACTCGGCAATCCCATTGTCCAGCTTTTGTGAGTAACTTACTTTCATACTGACTCGGCGCCCATAGGAGTTGAGGTCTCTTTCATTCTGGATGCCTTTGCACCTGGAGGTGGACATCTTCTCGTCTTATCGCCTTCATCTCTACAACCACTACTACTGCCATCGAGACAACCACAAATGGCGCTGACATAGAAATCCCATTCCCCCGTTGAGCATTCCTCTCCACGGCATCCTACGATCGCCTACCCTCGTCTGTCTCTACATCCTCATTCTCCTCCACCGCCTTCAGTAATCCAGTCCGTATCCAAAATTGCGACTTCCATCAAAACGCTCATTGCTCCGTCATTCGTTGTCCACTACCGCCTGTCTCATAACATTTAACAAATGCTGCCTACTATTGTCAAAATTGTCTCCCATTAAAATCTCAAAAATGTTTTAAATATCTTCTTTATCCTTACGCTCTCCAGCCTTTTTTCTACTCCTTCTACATATTACTAATCGTCTACTCTTCTGCATACTCTCGGTGCGCATCTATAGCATTCGGTAGGGATGCGATCTGATCACCTGACGCTGTCGTGTGGAGTCCGATGACGACGACATTGAGTGATGAGGAAGGAGTCTCTGTGGTGGGCGATGATCATGACTCTCCTTATCTGCCTACATTAATGTATATGAAGGAGCCTCTAACTTACATGAGGTTGGTAAAGCTAGTTGATAGTTTACATGCTCTTCCAATTTCCTATGACGTGAATTCCAATTAAATGCTACTAGTTCTGATTGTCGTTGACAATAACTCAATGATTAAGCATCCGATTCTATGTGGCTCTCCTGTGAATGAGGCAGTAATATCAGGCGATCAGAGAAAGGCCAAGGAGGAGAATTTGGCGCAGCTATGAATTCCCTTTCCACAATAGGCATCTCTCGGCTATGATCAGTCGATCCATCGAGTTTCTGTGTTTGTCTTAAATGCGCCTTATTGTTGATATTGAGTGTGAATAGTAGGTGGAACATTCGAACCCTTTAACATCTCCGTAGCCTGGACTCTTTGCTGCTTTGCACAGTTGTGAAATCAACGTGACTCGTCACAAGGCCTAATTTGTGAGAATATTTTTCCCGAACGGTTGCAAGAACGAACAGGTAACCTTTGGGGCAGTCTATTAATCACTTGACACCCATGAAATGCATTGCTTTTTTAACCTACCTACTCTTGCTGCAGTTTGAGGTGTGTTCGTCTGGCGTCACGTATCTGTGACATGTGTCCTTTGCACGAAATTTTCTTCGGAGCCTTTTGTGGCGCCCTTCAGCACATCTATTTCAACCAATAGACTTGATAAACGAAACGTAATGTTAGTTTTAATTGCAGGAGCGCTATTGACGAAAGAATAAAGGCAGGCTACGATGAATCTGTCAAATTTCGCTGTAGGACGTCCACGAGTCATTTGTTTTTTCCTCGGATCAGATGGAAGACAGCAGACCGGAGAGAGGGTTCTTTGAGTTGTTGAGGATCTGCTCACGGTCTTCTATCTTTCCTTTCCGCCTATCTCTACCAATGGTGACACGGCTGCTGCAGCCGCTACTATCACCACCGATGGAGTACAGTACATTGACCAGTTTCGTATCCAGCTCTTTTCATCGG